CGGTGTCTAGGGGCTTTTCCCATCAAGGGGCTTTTCGAAGCAATTTTTCTTGGAGCGAGATTTCACATAGATTGTTTTGAGACCAAAAAGCATGTTCTTTTGAGCTAGGTTTCAACGAGCATTTTGTAGAGTTTAAATTTTTCCATACAAAAATTTCTCCCCCAAATCAAAGATTACATAACAGCTTATGACAATGAGGTGACGTGAGTTTCTAACAGTATAGCTCGAAAAGTCAAATTCAATGAAAGCAACTGCTATCAAAAGGAACAGCTGGGTTTGGGATGTTCAAAGCTGAGAGAACAATGCAAAATGTAACGGAGACTGCTATCTGTTGTACAGAAGGAACGTTTCTTATGGATTTTCTAAGAGGACGGTGTGCAATAATCAGAATTTCTAATGAAAGTGTTCGAAAAAAGTTGGAGATGGCATTTTAAGAAAGTACACAGAATGAGACGGAGAAAAAAGTTGCACTCCTCAACCCTGTTCCACAATGACAATACATTTACACATTCAGCTAAGGCTATTGAAACCATTTTACGAAAATTTTGATGACGGGTTTGTCCACACGTTTATTATAGCCACTGTTTGGCGCCTTTCGATTGCTTGCTATTTCTTAAACTGAAGGAGCATTCGAAGTGAACGAGGTGCTTGTCCTTAGAGGAACTAAAAATGGCTGTCGTGAAAGAATTTTCAGGTAGAAACATCTGTTACAAACATGTGAAGGGTTCGTGCTCATCACTTCCAGAATTGATGATTTTAGTCAGAGCTTTTTGATTGATCTATCTCGTATATGCATTCTTTCATGTTTGCTCCCCCTATATGTATTAATGCAGTGTGTCGCATAAACTGTGATACGCCACGTATATTGAAGATGACATGGCGACACCCTTTCTTAATGGACTGAAAGTCGTAACACGTGTTTCTTTGAGTCGCCAATCTTTCTTGTTTACCTTCTGCTTAGTTTGGATATGCCGAAGGATGTAAAATATTTTCGGTTTTCAGCGTTTTTTTATTGCCTCCGTTAATTTTTCATACGGCGCCTATACAAGAGAGCCATTGATCAGTCTCAGCGTCGGCAAGACCTAAACAAACCTAATTCAAAGCCCATGTTGATACCTAGACTTTACTCGTACTAAGACAAACTTCAACTGACTTGATCTCAAGTTCACACGGATATTCGACAACAGCTCAACTTGAGCCTGAAGAAACCACCTCGTTTGGAGGTGGCGTTTTGAATGTAACGCGAATATTTTTTCGAGTTACTAGAAGTGTTTGAATGCGATTGACGTGGTAAAATCTAATGTTTATTCTCGACTGATTTTGCACTGTATTTATTTGCAACCAATAGAAGCGTAAAAATTATCGCTGTTCCTCATTTTTTAAATATCGCACTCATTTTGACATCAATGATTTCTGCTCCCCAAACGAAATCACCCAAAACGGATAATTTCATCCCCTATGAGAACCGCTGCCTTAGCAGAAGAATTCAGTGCTAATGGCGGAATAAACATGATAAATCTGTTCCTCTGTTAATTGCTCAAGATCACATCCGTAAAATGGTTCACGACTCAGAATGATTCGACTGAATGGTGTCTAAACAATGAAACCATGAAGACTCAATAGGTGGTGTAATTTAAGTTAGAGTATTCATTATGAATTCGGCTTCAAGCTAGTGATATAAATGATATCAAAAAATGAGAAAGAAACATTTATTAAAACTGAGATCGACAGAACAAAATTCGAGGTAGTATGGGAACTGATCAATAAGGACACATGATGGTAGTAAATACGAAGGTATACAGTGAAACAGTAGGTACCTCGACTTGATCAATAATAAAGTACAGATAAAACATTAAGTACACAGGACAACTATGAACAAATTGAATGACAGAATGATCATCAGCGAACATATCACTTCTTGCCCCTTCCTTTGCCGGCCTTCTTAGGACTTGATGTAGCTGCTGCAGCTGCAGCCTTGTAACTTGCCAATTCCTGCAACAGTTATATAAGACTTCCAACCTAATAATCATGTTCATTGCAGATGTTTTCGATGTAGTATAATTTTTATCATCACTTCTTACAACATCTCACATGAAAACTACCTTCACATAGCGTTTCTTATCTTCAGCGGCCATTTTTTCCCACTTGCTCTTATCTTTCAAAACATTCCATTCAACAGCAGCCGCCTTTGTAACTTCCACAACCGACACTCCAGGTTTAGTGAAACGAGCACGATTGTCAGATAACCAGAATATATATGCCGATTTACCACGCTTGGGTGCGTTTGGATCCTTAATCTGACAAATATGATTGAGGGTAGCGATTAGGATCACTATCTTGAGAAATAATCAGATACACAGTATCCCTGTAAAAAGAATTGAAATAGAAGGTAAAATCAAAATTCAAACATTACCATTGGAAGTCATACGGAGGAATAAGTTCCCCAAAAACTTAGCTGGTCATACAGAATGGAAAACGAATGTTAAAATGTACCTTCTTTGGGCGCTTTTGCTTTTTAACAGGTGAAGCTGATTTGCTCTTCTTTGGTGAAGCCTTAGCCTTTGCTGGGCGAGCCATCTCTTATGTTAGTGTCGTGAAATACGCTACTTGAAATTTAAAAATTGTAATAGAAAATGCAACAAAATCGAAAACGGTGGAAAAAACCGACGGAAAAACTTTCGAGAAGCGGTCAACGTCAACAATGCGCAACTCACAACAGTACCACGTAATTCATCAAAACTTCGAGTGATTTGATGATAAAATCCCTAAGTCATTGTTCCTAAAAGCTGGTCTTCACGATCACTAACTGATCTCCATGACTAGTCTCCAAAACAACGATGTTTACATATCTCATCAACTATTCAGATCAAATTGCTAATGTGAAATACGAACATTTTAAAAATAATTGCTTGAATGTTCGTAGAAATTTAAGAAAAGTGTTCACCACCCGTAAAAATTATTACAGTATACTTCATCATTAAACGATGTTCACCACTCATAAAAACAAATAGGGAGCGTTATATGGATAGGACATTAAGAAACAAACATCCTAAGGTCAGCATAAACCAAACCAAAAGCTTAAAACTATGACCCAACCGAATATGAAAGCAAGTAATAGCAACTATAACGCGCCTGCTATTAAGCAGTCAAACAAATGGCTTGAGTTTTGCAGAAAATGACCGCCAAAACAGGCGTGGTTTACGATGTAATTG